GAGAGAGGAAATGTGTGTGGGGCATCAGCCTCCACAAGCTCATCTCAACCTCAAGCCAAGTATGAATAACTGCAATCATAAAGGAAAATAGAATTCCATCAAGTAAATCACAAACCACACAGGCAAGGGAGCAGAGCTCTACCGAATACCAGCAAGCAAAGCCATACAGTAAAAATACAAACAGAGGGAGGAACTCAACCTCTAATGCAATACAAGCAAGGGGAGAAACTCAACCCTTAGGATGCTCTTAGGCTTATTCAACTACATGACCTAATCTAAATGCATCACACCAATCAATTCACATCAATACAGTTGCACCAGAAAGAACACAGACAAACAGGGAAACTGATCAACAGCTTCACAGCAAAGCAATCCTCTGACAGCAGTCCAATCTACAGTCTGTAACTGTTCTTCAAGTCCTTCATCTTCAAGGGAAGGAGAGAAGTACTCCATATTCAAGCTTCCATCTTCAATAGGCTCCACCAAGAATGAAGAGAATCAATGAGATGATTGTTTAATGATGGGAAGCAGGCAGGAAACCCAAGGAATCCCATCTGACACTCAACCAGTCATCAGAGAAAGGCATCCTCAAAAGTTCTACTCATTGCAAATGTCACACATCCCTCCTAAGGAGAGATGAGACTTTTAACATGAGGATTTTGAATCATAGGATGGGAATGGAAGGTGAATGAAACCAACCATTATTTGAAGAAAAATCTATTTCTACAGCTCTATCCTAAAGCCCTAATCTCCTAAGCTACTCAAAGCTAACAAAACAAAAAAGAAAGAAGGAAAAGCTCCAATCCAAGCTCCACCAGCCACTTCACACAAGCCTCATCATGTCCATGATATCCTCCAATGAGATCTAGAAGCCACTATGAAAGGAAGCCCAACTTTGAGTCCATTCCAAATCAATCATCAACACTAAAACACCAAATGAACAACCAACTAGAATATTCTATCAAAAATACCAAAACACATTCTAAAAATCTGATTATTTTTCTATGGGAACATGCATTTACTAATAACCTACAGTTAAAAAATCAGGGCCTAATTCATTCCCTAAGTCCTCCAATAAAATCCTAAACCTCAAGGTATCACAACTAAACCCTAAAAGGGAGCTCCTAAAGTTCTAGTCCTAAAACAGCACCTAAATTCATCACAAAAATGTGAGAAAAAATCTACAGGAGAATGCATATCTAACCTAATCACAAGCCAAAAATCCAGCCAAGAAACTATACCAATTGCTCAAACAAAATTCAACAAACAGATGAAGCAAACAATACAATTTTATTGTCAAATAAAATGTGAAAAATTCTAATAAAATGAAAATAAATGCTAATCATGATTTTTTTGTTCCTAAAATTCCTAAACTCATTCATGAATCAGGGGGAAAAATCTCAGGATTTATTGACTAATTTTCCTATTTTTAATGGATTAAAACTAAACTTAGTATGAAATGAACAAAAAATAAGAAAAAGAAAAGAAATAAAATAAACACGCGTGGCATATAGCAATTCTGGCTAGTACAAATCTTGGGTTGGGCCCAGAGGGGGTGTGAGTATCAATCTCAGTACTAAGGCCAGACAATTCACTTAATCAAACGCTGCATTTGGAGAGGGGTTATGTGGCACGGTTCTGAGTGCACGATGGGATTACCAGTCAATGAATCCAATGTCTTCACGTGATGCCAGCTCAATTAATGAGGGCGACGTCGTTTTGGCTCAAGTCAAAGTCAGAGTTTCAAAATGAATCGTGGTCGTGTATGATGATTACCCAGTCAAGTCCCCAGCAAGATCCAACGCCTCCTGTGTTTCTTCTTCATTTGAATTTCCGTTTGGGGGGAAAACACAGACGGTGGCCCAGACGGTGGCGCCACCGTCTTCTCCGGCAGGCCATCTTACACAGGTCAAGCAAAACTAACAAATCATAAACCGTTCTCCCCAAAATTTAATGTTGATCATGAATATCATCTTAGAATCCTCTAATCCCTTCTAAATTTCAAAACCCGATAGCACCTTCAAAAATGCACCTCAATCTTGATTCTCACCAAAGTCTAAATTAATGGCACAGATATAATCCTCATCTCACACTGATCACTCTACACTATCCAAGCCTCAACAGAAATCATGCATCAACCTAACGTGTCTTTAATTCACCAGTTCTTGATCCTAAATCCAACTACATTTCACCATGATCCTAACCACCTATGAAATGATATCTAACACTGCCTAAATTATGAGTAATCAAGAAATTCACCAACCTGTGTTTGAGCTTGCAACAGAGATGGTTCTTGCACGATTCAGCCTCCATAAAAGTGCAGATTTACTCCAAAATGCTTGATGAAGGTGATGAAATCCTCGATTGGCTCTGCTTTGCTCTTGAATTCAGAAACCGATTTTGAATTGCACCTTTGAATTTTCAACCTCTCTCTCTCTGCTTCAGCCTTCAATCTTCACAAAAAAATGCACTGAAAGTGATCATGGACTTATATAGGATGCAGAGGAATGTTCTAGAGCCCTCTCAAAAGCCCAGAATCAATTTTTGAATTTTCAATTTCTCTTCAAAATCTCATTCATGGAACTCACGATTTCTCCTCTATTTTTTCTTCAGGAACCTTCCAACACACTCCTTGTGAACCACTGAACTTAAATGGTTATGATTCATCCCTTGTTTTCATCCTAGGGCTTGGATTTGAGATGTAACTTCCTCATGAAGTAACAAAGCAAAAGGCCATGAAAATGAACTCAAACCTAAATTCTAATGATGTCATTGTTTCCAAAATGAAATTTTCATTCAAAAAATGCTATTACTTTGCCTTATTTGCACACATAACATTTATTTTGAATTTGTGATCTTTAATGCCTTTTAATTCTTCCTTTTTTAAAATTCCTTGAATCAAGTCTCTCCTTGAGCCATTTCAATGCCTCCTTGATACATGGTCAAAGTTAAAACCCCATTTTGAGCAACTTTCAAGTTGAACAAAACTTCATTTGAGATGTCTAAGTTGGTGAAAATGACCCATAACCAAAAATGACCCATAATCACAACTTCCCAAAATACCCTTGACTTGTCAAAGCCATAACTTGAGTTCTACAAATCCAATCATGGACTTCTAGCACTCTATGGAAAGCTAAGAGAATAAGGAGCAACATTAATGTTGACCAAAAGTTCATAGGAATCATCCTTCTAGGGCAAAAATGCCATGCAAGTTGGGTAACTTTCAAGCTCCAAATTCACATGCCTCAGATGACCTGTAACTTGTCTGGCTCATAACTTGAGTTCTATAAACCCTATTAAGGACTTCTAGTACTCAAATTAAAGCTAAGATCATGCCCTACAACAATCATGTTAGGGTCAAGATGAGATGAAAATCACATTTTGAGTTAAATGGCCTTGAAGTCAGGGGTCAAACTAGGGGATTTTACACTGTCAAGTCTTAGAAACCCTAGCCTGAAACTTCTCAAACTCCTCAATCATGATGAGTTAACCTTGGAATCATCCTTAGAACATCTCAATGCATCAATCCATGATCTCATGACCCTTGAATTAGGTCTCAACCTTCTTCTAATCATCAATTGACTTAGGGTTGACCCAGTCAAACCCTAGTTGCACCACTCATGGCTGAGCCTTCTTAATCTTGCACAATGACCTGTCTAGGCCTCAAAGTGATCTTCAACACTTCTCATGAGCTCTCTCAAGACCTCCAGTCCATCCTCCTGACCTCAGAATCGTCTGATGGCTTTCCACAACTCTCAAGTTAGGAGACCTACACACTTGGCTTCAATCACTCTCTCTGAGGATCTTTTAACTTCTCTGGTAAGGATATCAACCCTTGAACGTCTGAATAACCTTCTTAGCTAGCTTCAAAGTCTTGTGTAGCCCTTGATTGGTAATCATACATCTTGATCTCCTGCATACATGTCAATGAAATGCAAATGATAATGCTAATGTGAATGAAATGAAACATAAGCTAGGTAAAGAAATGTTGGGCAAATTTTGGGGTGCAACAGAGGGGGACTAAAAAAACCCAAAAAATGACAACTTTAGAGACTAAAAGGCTAAAAATATTAAAAGAGAGACTAAAACGTTAACAATTTATAAATAGGGGGACTAAATATATATATATATATATATATATATATATATATATATATATATATATATATATATATATATATATATATATATATATATATATATACATATATATATATATATATATATATATATATATATATCTATATATCTATATATATATATATATAGATATATATATATATATATATATATATATATATATATATATATATATATATATATATATATATATATATATATATATATATATATATATATATATATATATATATATATATATATATATATATATATATATATATATATATATATATATATATATATATATATATATATATATATATGCAAAAATGCAAATTTAAATCTGCCATATCCCATTTATTCATATTTAAATGGTAAATTCTAGCCTAGAACTACATGACCAAAAAAATCATTTTAATAATGTTAAAAATTAAAAATAATTAATTAATTACCAATCATACAAAAATGGAAGCAAAATTCATATCCCCGTATCATTAAGCAATGAAATGGGAAAACTTGAAATTTATTAGAGATACTCCAAAATCTAAATTGATGGAAGTTAAACTATACCTAAAACATATTTGAAAACTTTCACAACTAAATGTATACTTTTTATTTCTCCTAGATTAAAAAGTCGTTGTACTCTTTTAGTCGAATACGAGTATGTTTTGAACTAACATGACATTCTAAAAGGTCTATGTTCCTTCAATCTTAATATTTTCAACACCTAAACTTTGATCTTACCAACCGTTTGTTACAGAGGGTGTGTTTCAAACTACTTTAAAGTCAAGCAAACTATGTGTACGAAGTATGACACTTGAAAAATTTGTGCAAAAATAATTAGAATCATAGCAGTTTTCAATTCATTCAACCATCCCATGTCAATGTTGTCTCTCAAGCCTTTGATGGATCGCAAGATCCAATCACTTTTTCCAATTGTATTGTATTCAATTCTAATCTTAGCAGTTGCAAGGTTAGTCCTGGATAACTTGAAGAGCAAGCAAAGCCATGTTTTTCGACTATATGACATGTCATCCGGTGGAAAGAATAGGTTACCAGTTGCCGTGTCACCAGAGGATCGCAATGCAGCGGAATGCAATGTATTTGAAGGGACGTGGGTTTGGGATAATGTATCTTATCCTCTTTATGAAGAAGAGAGTTGCCCTTACTTGGTCAAGCAGACCACTTGCAAGAAAAATGGGAGACCTGATTCTTTCTACAAGAATTGGAGGTGGCAGCCTCATGGATGTAGTCTTCCAAGGTTTGATCCTTTGAAGATGTTACATGTGTTGAGGAATAAAAGAATAATGTTTATTGGAGATTCATTACAAAGAAGCCAATTTGAGTCTATGATCTGTTTGGTGCAATCTGTAATTCCTGAAGGAAAGAAATCCCTCACAAGAATTCCACCTAGGAAGATCTTCAAATCTGAGGTACATCAAAATTTGCCTCTCATGTTAGTACTAGCTTGTTAAATTTTACTTAATGAAATTTTGTTTAGCTTTAACTTTTCCAGGATTTCAATGTATCGATCGAGTACTACTGGGCTCCATTCCTGGTTGAATCAATTTCAGATCATGCAACAAATCATACAGTACATAAAAGAATGGTGATGCTTGACTCAATAGCTAAGCATGGCAAACATTGGCAAGGAGTTGACTTTTTGGTGTTCGAGAGCTATGTTTGGTGGATGCACAGCCCTTTCATCAATGCGACGTATGTATATAGTTGAATGAATGATCATAGATATTTCAAACAAATTGATGTAAACATGTTTTGTTCCAGATATGGATCACCATACCAAGTTCAAGAATATAATGTCACTACAGCTTACAAGTTGGCATTGAAAACATGGGCAAATTGGTTAGAATCGAATATTGATCCGTATACGCAGAATGTCTTTTTCATGAGTATGTCTCCTACACATTTATGGTAAGTTACAATCTTTGTTTTCCCTGCTAATAGTTCAGATTATACAATCTTTGAAAAAGGGATTGAAGGTGTGAAATTACCATGCACCTGTCCTTTTTTATTCTCCAGGAGCTGGGAATGGAATCCAGGGAGTGATGAAAATTGCTTCAATGAATCATATCCAATCCAAGGTTCATATTGGGGTACAGGCTCAAATCTTGAGATTATGAAGATATTACACGATTCACTACAGAAACTGGAAATAGATGTCACCCTGTTGAACATCACCCAGTTATCAGAGTACAGAAAAGATGCTCACACCTCAGTTTACGGCGAGCGAAAGGGCAAGCTCCTGACCAAAGAACAGAGAGCTAACCCGAAATCTTTTGCTGATTGTATTCACTGGTGTTTACCTGGAGTTCCTGATACATGGAATGAAATACTATATTCATATCTGTTGAAGAAATATCAAAACTTTTCCTAACATCATGGTTTAATAACCATGAGAAAAGCACACGCATCACACAAATGAGGGAAACATTCAGAATTTTTCATTAGTACACCATTCTATTTTCTTTTCTTTTTGCACACATTTTGGATTGTAATCAGAAAATTGATTAACTTAACTATCAATGTAGAGATACACTGTCTGTAAACATCGGAAAACTTTGCACACCTGTAGAGCTTGAGAAAAGAATTTAAGAAAGGGAATCTTTTCTAAGAAGCCTCGTCAATAATTCCGACAGAAAATATTTTTTATTTTAGCATGTTATTCTCGAAAACCTAGACAATATAATCTCAGCAAGCACAGCCACTTTTGACATGCACAATTGCAAATAAATGAAGCCTTAGCATTTGTTCCTTATTTACATCACATGCCACCTGATTGTATTTATAGTAACTCCCACTCTGTTTCAGAAGCTTGCTGCATTTGCAAATCCTTTGAGTTTGAATATGTTCTGGAACTAAATAGGGCGCGAGTTTGTGGTATATCTTGACTTGGCTCCATATCAGCATCTCCATACCATATTGCTAGTTGTTCATACTCCTTTGCTAACCTCTTCTTCGAAGCAAATGCATCCTGGATTCTTTTCTGTCGGATGAAAAATGATAGTAATATAATGCATAAGATTTCTTCATTTTCTTAATAGCATAACTTATTTCATAAAATAAACTTTTTTTCCTCTATAAAATACAAGGAAATGAGAGAGATATGCGAAAGAAACTAGGCTTTCTTCTATAACTAAAAGTAACTATAGCTATTTTAGTTGTTATTCCCGTCTCATGAAAAGTGTCTTATTTAGATTGTGTGCAATTTTTAAGAAAATGATTAGTTGTGTTTATTTTAATAGTAAAATTAATATCATTTACTAAAACACTCTTGTTAATTATAGTTAGTGGAGTGAAATTCAATAAAAAATAGTGTGTATATTAGTGGAAAAATAACAATAAATGTTGTATGGATATTATAAAGTGACAATTATTGAGATTTTTTTTTTTTGACTCAAAAAAGATACAATTATTTTGAAATAAAAAAGTGACATAAAACATTTTTTAAGAGAAGGCAGGAGTAATAAATAGGCAAGTTTAATTATTCTAAGCAAAACACATTTGAAATCATTATATGATCTACTTGAAGCAATAATTTTACTCATTGCAACATTTACTAGAAGAGACTATGGGAGTACCTTATACGATCTAAGCTTTTGGATTCTGTATGAGACTGCATGGAGTTCACTATCAGCCACAAATACACGGCTTTCTTCGAGCTTTGTATCATTATTCAATTGAATGTCTTCCAAGCTTAATTCAATAGAACGTGATTCATCTTAACAACAGCACAAGCAAAAACAATAATAGATAAGTAACAATACACTTGAACAGGCCCATGTAGATCGTTAATTACTAGATTTCTATGAAATTTTCAGTTCTTATCATTATTTGTGAATTTGTTCTTTGTTGCTTTTTTATATACCACCATTTATTTGAATTTTATCCGTACAATAAAATATTCAACAAAAACTATAATTAAAGTAGTTTAGTACAAGAACAAGTGACAGTTAAAAATAACATAGTAGTAATATAACTTCAACTTCAAATAAGCATAATCATGAAAACATTTCAAATGACAATAACTTTCAATTTCCCTATAAGAACTTTCAAATGATAAGCATATCCAGTGTTGTAATATTCCAAACAGTCCACTCTTTCCATGAATCAATACTATAGGCAGCAGACAAAGTACCCTCAAAGCTTAAAATCTTAGTCGAGATCACCAATGTAACATTGAAAATCCAAAAGAAATAATAATGACTCCAACAAAATATTGACAGCATGAAAGTAAAGTAATATATATTTAACTGCTTTTCTGGTCTCTGTCTTAAAGCATGCAAAATCGGCAAGTTTCCTGGTCATATAAATATGAAACTTGTCCAGGTGGCTTCAAGCCATTATAGTAAGGCAACATATTTTAATGCATTTTGAGGTTTTATCAAGTTGTAACCTTTTGTTTTAAATAAAGCAAACAGTTTACACAATCATTGAGTATATCCCTCATCAGGGAAGGCTTCTTTTGTTGTTATATTTTGCTATACTTGACAAGGATATTATAGCCATGTGTTGAGCAAAAGATATAAGCATTTGCCTGATTCTAGATTAATTATCCAAAGGTACTTCATTGACCTTGGAAGTGTCTCCTAAGCCCGTACATAGTATTAAACAAGACAATACATGACAGGGTATTTATTATAGAATCAACTGATCATGTAGCCAACTCATCTGGTAGAAAAAGGCTTGGGTGATGTAACTGTTGTAAGCCCGTACATAGTATTAAACAAGACAATACATGACAGGGTATTTATTATAGAATCAACTGATCATGTAGCCAACTCATCTGGTAGAAAAAGGCTTGGGTGATGTAACTGTTGTAGTCTTAAACAAGAATTCAAACAAAAGTTACTGAAAGTTTTAAATTTAAGAAAACTAACCATCTGATTCCATTGATTTACAATGACAAGAGGAAATGATTCTATCATCGGATTCCTTGACCTGGCCAGCTATTTGGGAGGACTCACAGCATACATGTGCCATGGAACTATCTGAATTACACAAAGCAACATAACCTGAACTGCATTTGTAAGATTCTGAATATGGACTATCAGAAACTAAAGAACATTTGAAGTTTGAAGTTCCTGTCTCTTTGATATTAGGCCTTTTGCATGATACAGATGGTACAGCAGGTGAAACTTCAGCTAGTATATCATTATCACCCTTATCAACATCAGTTGATACGTTGAATAAGGAGGCTTTACTTAATTCTGTCTCACCAACAGACGTGTCATTCACCACTTCAGCACTAGATAAACTCGTATTATTTTCTTCAAAAATCAAACACGGGTCTTGTTCAACATTTATTTTGTTAGTATCCTTAATTGTCACCGAAACACCAGATGCACTATCAGAAGAACCATAATAGGATTGGCTATGTATTGAGGATTCAAGGGGTTCCTTCTCATTAATGGATATCAAACTCTCTAGCTCAGATGCAGACTTGATGGCAGTTTCTTCAATGCTTGCATGCAAGTTTTCTTTTTCAACCACAGAACTTTCTCTAGAGTCATCACTAACCTCATTTCGAGTTACGAAAGAATCTTCCCTCTCCAAGGAATCCGTGTGAGTTTTGCTATTAAATTGATTTACAAGTTCATGTTCGTCAGAATGACCAGCTAGTTGATCATTGGCTAGATCAATTGCATTACAATCCTGCAATGATTCAATAAAATTATTTACAGGATTTTCCTCAACCCCATTTTTATTTTTATCTTTATCTTCAACACTACAAACCGACTTAAATGATAAGCCAATATTATTTTTTAAAGCAACTGAATGAGCTTCATATTTTGAAGGACCAGGACCGGACAAGGCAGGAAAAGGTTGTAGCTCATGTACAACATCAGAATATAACTTTTTCATACTATCTCCAACATTCAGGACCCGATTCTCAAGATATTTAACAGCATCCTGAATCAAGATAAATAAGTGGAAAAAAAAAAGTTTCATACAATAACTCTTCGAACAAAGAAAAGAAATACAAAATCAAATATCAAACCAATAATGAAATAGCACCTGGCCTACAATACCATCCACCTCATGACACACAGCTTCCAATTTCTGGTAAATATTCCCCACCCAATTTGTATGTTTAACCTTTAAACTCATCTCGAACTGGTAACACCGTACACGGATTAGAATTGAGAATCCTCAAAGTTACAAAAACTATAATGTAATTCAATGATATAGCTGCATAAACCGTGAAGGAAGAATCTCAACTCTTAATAAACAAAGATTTATTCACTAGGTTATTATAATAAAATAAAGAATGAAACGAACTAATATTCAAAATCTAGTGATGATAAAACTATAAAGAGTTTAAATATAAAGTAAACCCTAAAACATCAATTACCACACGTTCCAAATTGACAAACAATAAAATTCAACTTTTCCTATCTATCTCTCATTGGTGCTATCATATTCAGCGTGACAATATTCAAAATCTTCAGCACAGAAATCAAATTTATAAACTTGTGAGTGTGAGTGCAGAAGATTCGTTTTTGAAGAAAAACTAGAAAAAGTAAGGAAAAGATGCAAACTTTAACGTCACACAAAGACCATGGCCAAATTTTCTGGAAATCAATATGTTTGTAATTGGGTTGAATTATGAGCGGAGAAATCAACGAGAGAAAGACTGTGGCGCGGTCGGTGTCTCCGGCAAAACACAGAGGAAGGTGAGAAAGGGTTTTGTGGCAGACGAGGAACAGAATCTGAGCGAGGGTTTATGTAAGCAAATTTTTTTTTCATAAACTTTCTATCCTTTATATTTAAATCATAATAAATAAAATAGGAAATTTTAATTTAACATTAAAGAAATGGTGAATTAAGATACTTGTTCTAACATATAAAATAAAAGTAAATTAAATGTGAAATTAAAATTTGACAATAACAATAATAAAATAGTATAGACTATAGACTGATATTATTTTAAGAGAAACAACTTGTTAATAAAAACTAGTAAAAAACTCTTGAAAATTAGTAAAGAAATTTGTGCATTCTAGTTTAGTATACGCATTTGTTTATATAATATATTTATTTTAAAATGGAAGTAAAAAATAAAAATAAAAATTAAAGGACATAAAAAATGGAAAATAAATCTTATTTTTAAAAATAAAAAAGAAATTAAAATAAAGAAGTTATAGTTTTATTAAAAAAAGAATTGAAATAAATTATTCAATATATTATAGAATGACTCAGTAAAAAAAAATTGTAGCAAAATTTAGCAAAATAATAAATAAATTGTAGAATATATTTTATTAATTTATATGTGACATATATTTATTTTATATTTGAAACATAAATACAACTTTAACTTTTTGTATATAAAAATATTTAGATCAATAATGAATTTTTTCTGTATATAAATATTATTTT